AACCCCAAAACAGTAGTAATGTAACACAGAATAATGAAATGTTAAAAGCAAAAAGCGATCCAAGTGACAAAATTTCAAATCCCATTAGTCTTTCATCAAATTCGAAAATTACTGTCGCGAAACCGCTAGAAATAAAATCTGAAGTTCCTATTAATAATAATACGACCACTGCTCATAACGAAAGCAACACAATTAGTAATGTAGCAAAACCTGACACTCAACCGAGCAAGAAAGCGTTAGACTCAAAGACCAGTTCCTCACATGAAGCTAATGCATCAACAAAAACAGCTGAGTCAATGAAGTCTAATACGGTCAACACTCCCAATATCACTGATACTACTAACTCTATTACTAAAGATGTACAAAGCAAGAAAAGTATGCCAGAAAACATTAGTACACCTGTAAAGGACTCCTCCAACAAGAACAAGAACACTAAGAGTTCTGACACTCACTTGTCGACGAATGAACCAGTACCCACACAGAAAGAGACTAAACCGACGCCAAGTGTGTCAAGTAAACCCACTGATTCGAAGACTGTTGCCGAAACTGAAAATCTTCCGAAGGTCAGTAGTACCGACCGTAAAACTGCTAATAAGCATGAAAGTGAGGCTTCAGATAAAAAGAATGTGGTCACTGCTCATAACGAAAGCAACACAATTAGTAATGTAGCAAAACCTGACACTCAACCGAGCAAGAAAGCGTTAGACTCAAAGACCAGTTCCTCACATGAAGCTAATGCATCAACAAAAACAGCTGAGTCAATGAAGTCTAATACGGTCAACACTCCCAATATCACTGATACTACTAACTCTATTACTAAAGATGTACAAAGCAAGAAAAGTATGCCAGAAAACATTAGTACACCTGTAAAGGACTCCTCCAACAAGAACAAGAACACTAAGAGTTCTGACACTCACTTGTCGACGAATGAACCAGTACCCACACAGAAAGAGACTAAACCGACGCCAAGTGTGTCAAGTAAACCCACTGATTCGAAGACTGTTGCCGAAACTGAAAATCTTCCGAAGGTCAGTAGTACCGACCCTTCAAGTTCAAATATGACTGATCATATTAATAGTTTGGATGTTAAATCAAAGTTTAATAATAAGCATACGATAAATTATAATAAACAAAATCAGGATAATGTAATTTCACCAGAACAACCTGTTAATAATATTAATAAATCGGATCATTCAAAGTTATCAAAAATTGCTTTACGTCGAGATACAGTAGTTCTTGAAAATCCTAAAAGTTTATTTCCAACAACGACCGATATTAATATTGATAATAGTCAAAAAGAAACCTCTAATGGTAAGCTAAAAAATCCAACAAATGAATCAGTAAGTAGATTAATTACTGATATTGAACAATTAAGAAACGAATTGTGTAAGTTTCCTGCTTCAATAAATCATACAAAAATATCAATAGCTTGTCAAACAAATCAACAAAATATGCTCAACTGTTCTACTCAGACTTATCTTGATAAACTATGCCATCAAATGTTGACTGTAATCAGAATCAATTAGAAAATAATACTTTTCAGCTACAATTAGAATCTTTAATATTATATAGTATAAAATATGATATCAATCTTTCGAAGAAGAATAATAGTTCCACAACTGTTATGCAATATCCTTTACAAATGAAAAAAACACCTTATTTAACTCATTCAAAAGTACTTGAATATAGTTCATCATTGAAAGAAACCAATAAATCACTTATGTATAATACTTGTCCACAACAATCTACTAATCATTCATATGAATTCGCTTCATCATTGTTTCATTTGTTACAAAAGGAATATGTAAAAAATTTCAATAAACTTTCATATTCAAACTTAAATGATCTAAATCTATTTACATTGACACAGTTTATTTTACAAACATACGATATATGGAATTATGATTTAAATTCAGAGAATTATAATAGTAATACTAATCCTATTCGAATAAAACGTAACAGTACTACTATTAATAATCTTAATCAACTTTCTATTATTAAAACACCATTACATTATAAAATTAATATTCGTCAATTTTGTAATAATTTATTATTATGCATAATATGTATTTATATGGATACTGAACAATTATCTCCAAGGCAACATTATACACGTATTATATCATTTATAAAAAAATTAATGAATAATTATTTTCATCATACCAATAATACTACTAATAATAATGATTATTTTTTTAATGAATTTCATCAATTTTGTAATGAAAAATTATTACATAATCATTTATGGTTTAGTCAAATCATTTATGAAGGTTTAATTCTATTACAACCATTTCATATAGAATGGATTCATTCATGTATTGATTTAATCAATTTATCAAATTATACATTACAAAAGATTAAATTTCGTTTAACTACTAATATCACTATAACATTACCTAATATTAAATTAAATAAAGATTCTATATTTGAATTAATACCATCTACAATGATTAATTCATTATGTCGAACAAATGAAATGTATAATTTAATATATTTACGTATATTATATACCAATTTAATATTAACACCAATGAATTTAACATTAATAATCAAAATTTATAATAGTTTTGTAGATGCTATCAATTATTTATTATCATTATCGAATTATACAACAACAACAACAACATCATTATATCGAAATATTACTGAGCCTATTATAGATCTTAGTTATATAACAAGTCAATTATTACAATTATTTATTCAATTAAAATATCGTCTATGGGAAATGATGATACAACCAATTGTAAATAATAATCAAAATACATTAATACTAGATCAATTATTAAATTGTATTAATCCACAAGTATTAAAACATTTCAATACTATCTGTTCTAATACAAATCATCATAGTAACATTTATTTATTTATATTAATATTTCGAATATTAATGTCAGTACAATTTGAATCAGATTGTTTAATACATGAAACACAACCAACCAATTCACCAATATATGGTTTTAATTATAGTGTTATCATGAGTAGTTTAACAAATTGTTCAATTACTGGACCATCTAAAAGTGATCATATTCTATATGAAGATAATGAAACTTATCATCATCTTTTATATCATATTTATGAAATGTGTTATGCAGAATGGTTAATGACAGGTTTATGGCCTTATAATAAAGTGAAAATGTTCAATGATCAACATCATCATCATTCACAACAATTATCTATTCAATATTTATGGTTTCATGCATTAAAACAAAAAGATGAATTAATGACATTATTATTTCATAATAGTTTGATTAATAATTTTAAGTCTGGTTTACAACAATTAGTCAAACAAAAATCAATTAATATTAAACTATGGTTACCTGTTAAATTTAATTCAACTGATTTAAACAATGGTACATTTTGGTCTCGTGTCTATTTAGCCGCAATTATGCAATGGTATGATACAAATCCAAAATCAACAAATTGTGGAACTATTATTAGTAAACTATCTCATATATTAAATATTAATTCATCAACGACAAGTAATAAGAGAACGAATTATATGAATATAAATAATTATAATAAAAGTTGTTGTCGTGTATTTTTGCGCAAACTAGAAGAAGTTCGATGTAATTGGTCATATTCAAATTATGTCAATTACGACCTCATGTATATCTGGTGCCTGATGTCAGATGATATTCATTGTTGTAGTACAAGTGGGAATGTGTACCAAGGAAGCGATAATAATAATAATAATAATAATGCCGATCTATATCATCCATCAATTATATTTGAGAAGAATTTAAATATGCTACCAGACAATGTAGTGACACAATTGAAGCTAGCTTATTTTATTGAACCATCTATTCTATTTACTACTATATCACATAAAACAGTATCAGAATACATATTGAAATATCGACAACAGTTAGCGAATACGAAATGTTCATATTCTGAGGTGATTGGTATAACAAAGAAATGGATTAGTTTTTCTCCTAAAATGCACCTTTATTTTACATTTTTACTGAACACAATTAGCTATGGTTACGGTCTTTATAAGGGGTTGATTTTTTATCTTCTCATTGTTATCGTTAAAGCGTATCTCTACACGTAAATGGTCATAATCACTGAAAGAAATGTTTTTTTTTGTATTTGTGGTCTGGTGTTATATAGGAATTTTCAGGTTCAATGCCTGTTTTTTAAACTTGAGAGATCTAGTAAGGACGGTGTTAATATTTCCATCCTCCCACTGTTTTTATATTACTTACCCTCAACTATTTTTGAAGCAGTTTTATTAACATTTTTATTTAGTCATTTATCAAATTTTCAGTATAGGGTTGTGAAGATAGTTGAATTCCATTTAAATCATGAATCGATCTAAGACCACCATTGAAAATGTGGAAGCAATAGACGGCCATTTTGTCCTAGTATGGGACACCGCATCAATGCGCATCCACGATCGAGGTTTGACATTAACATCGCTAGGTGTCACGACAGAGGTCTGGAGGTTAAGTGTTCGCGCTCCAGACCGAAGGTTCTGGTTTCGATTGCCCATGGTGGATACATCGTTTTTATGAGTCCTATACTAGGGCGAAATGGCCATGCAGCGCTTGCAGTTTCCATTGGTCGTCTAATTTAGATCGTTTCATGATTTCAATGAAATTTGTTGGGTTTGTCCTATTAAAAAACAATTTTGTGACGGGGTTTTTTTCAAATGCTAATCTCTGTATTGGACTAAATGAATTTTTGTGAGTAAATTTACATTAAACATAATTATAAAATACTACTAACTCCCCCTAAACCTCACTTATTTTTTACTTGTTTCACAAATCACTAATTGTTTTCATAATTATTTTATAAATTACTAATCACGTGTTTAAGGGTTACCGTAATCACCAACAGATTCATAACCTATTTAAGTTGATTTACTCCTCCCCACTTCGAAAAAAAGTGGGAATTTCAGAGTGTGAATAAAAATTGTAATACAGTTTTCTGTTGTTATTGTTTTATAAATTTTTTATACTTTCCCCGCCTTCTTTCTCTCTCTCTCTCTCTGTCTACAGAATAATGTTGATCAAAAACTGGTAGAAAATTTACGTTGTCAAATTGAAAGCTTGAAACAAGAAATAAAAAGGTATTGTTTTCTAATGACAAGAAAAACAACTAATAAGTTATTTGGTTCTCTCATACCATTTACTTATCGTATTATTTGCTTTTTCGAAACTGATGTGTTCTAAATCTTCGTTTGCGCAAGGGATTTTTTTATTATCCGGTTGGTTGATATTAAGGATTGCAGTTGTTTATCAACCTCTTTTTTTAATTTACTTTTTTTGTTGTTGAACAGATGGCTTCCTAATCAGAAGCTTTTAAGTAAAATTGAGTCAAGTGTGTCAGTGGAATTCAGGACGCATGCACTATTTAACAATCATTAGTTGAATTTATCTTCCTTCCAATGTTAATGTTTATTATTTATGATCCTTTTTATTAAAAATGGAAAGATCCAAATAGTTACAAATCAGGATGAAACATCCTCCTAGAACAAATTAGTGTTTATTTGAAGTTAGCAGCTCAATAAATAACATGCTGGGTACTAGGTTCGATTTTTTGTGTGGAGATTAACATAGAGATTCAGCTATATCCAGCCGATGAGTCCCGAATAAGACAAACTGTGGCTTGCTAGATTCCACTGGTAATCCCTGTCTAAACTTACATAAAACCTTTGTTTTAACACCTAAAATTTAAAGAGGTTATGTTGGGTGTGTTTATTTTTGCCATTGCAATTAAATATGATTAGATTGCTACAGCTCTATAATGTGTATTATATGATTAACATTGTTCATTAAGCTCACATACACAATTGATTCCTACATAGATCATTTACGTAAGTATGGAGAAAGGTCGATAGCTAACGAAAAGTCTAATTAATGACCGTGAGCGTTGACTGGCAATAAAACCAAAATTAGTTGATAACATTAAATAATTAGTGGAAACTGCCCATCAAATTTAATAGACCTACCAAATGAAGTAAATGTTCCTTTTTTGTATAAGTAACAATTTCCACTTCATTGATGTTATCATCAAATCAATTATGAAATTTGATATTTTTGGCCAGTCAAGTATCAGTCAAATGATATGTGTACATGACCGGCGAAGAAATGGCTTGTATTTTTAAGTAATGAGATGTACACCATTGGTGTCATACTTTTCTAAGATATATATATATATATATATATATATATTCAGTTTAGTCAGTAAACTTTCATCCCACTCCCCCGTCTTTCCCTTAGAAGTGCCAGCTTGGCTAGCGTATAGGAAAATTGTGTATCAGTATTAAAATTAGACACCATACATTATGACGTCATCATCATAAGATGATAAATAAATAAAAAATTTAACAGTGTTAAGTTTGCATACGAATACTGTAGATTTTGATAAATTTTAACATGAGAAATCAATCTTTTCATGAATTCACTTATGTACCGGTTATCTTTCGGTTACTTAATATTACTTAGTATAGTATGTTTGAATGGAAATAATGATTCATTATTATTTGAAACGTTTGTTAACAATCAATCATGTTGTTTGTTCTGTATTTTCAGACAATAACAACTAGTAAATCACTAGTCTGGGTTGATTTTTTTTTATTAATGAAATGGAGATTATGAGACTTTTATTTAAAAGAAAACAAGGAAATATAAGAATTGGTAATTTGTTTAGTTAGTATTTACGCTAGTAGTAATTCCGCTTAACTGAAGGATGTATTAAAATAAATCCAATAAATTAGACTGAAATAGCTCATCAAGGTTATTAAATTGACAACTTATTGATTATCAACTTACATAGTTTATCTGATAACCAGAATCTACTTTTACTCTAACCACCGGGTGTCATTTTCTGAAAGTTCATAGGAACGAGATATTTAAGGAACTGTTCATACTTTACTAAATTACTTAACCAAACACAGGTACTGTTGTTCTAGTCTTTAAACCATATAATAAATCAATCTACTTAGAATATTCCGAATGCAAGTGAATTATTTCTTTGATTCCTCTCACAGGTAGTCTATATCATTTCATTCACATTCTTAGTACTAAATAAGCTATAAATTAAGCCTAGCTAAGATAAACACGTCAAAATATTCTGTTATCTTTCTGTAGATTACAACGTGGTGCATCTACAGCTGAAGAACGAACTGTTAATGGAAATACTGGTGAATGTGAGTTGAATATTGTGGTCTGTTTTTTTCCAATAACCCTGTTTGGTTATTTCTTTCTTGTTATGATGTCACCTGAGCTTCATTCTATTGAGAAACTTAGTTATTCTGTCGATACTAATAAATTAAAATATTTTATCGATACATCTGATGAAAGGTTTTGGTAAATATCGTTTTTAATTGAAGATAATAATTGATACGGATTTATCTTAACTGAGATACCATTGAAAACCAGATACTACTAGTGCGTATCCACGACCTAGCCGGGGATATAGACCCAAAGTTTGTAACCAAGTCAACGAAACGCCGAATCTGAGGACAAACACATATTGGCCAGCTCACCAGTGACTTACATCAGGACGAGTTCTTAGATTTCAGATAAAAAATCGTGATTTTTTAATAGTATACATATCAGGAGTGTAACAGCCGTCACAAATGTCATCGTATGGATTCCGTCATATATAGCAAACCGATTAAAGTTGAATATGTGTGCCATTGAACACCAACATAGCCATCTTAACGATTAAGCGCTGGCTACAAGGCCTGAAGTCTATGAGTTCTTTTTTAATCACCATATTGTGAATACACACCACTAAGAAGCCCTATACTAGGGCAAAATAGCTACCCAATAGTTTCTGTTTTTCAGTGCTATCTCAGCTGGTATTATTTCATGACAAGCCTCACCTATAGTTGATAAATATTTAAGATGTTTGATTCCATTATTATGAAACATATTGTTATTACTCTAAACGCTGTTTGACAGTTATTTTACTTCCATGCTTTTGTAGCTTACTGTCACAATGATTTGCTTCGTAGATACCATGCAACTCACTTTAGCTTAAGATGACGGTGAAAATTTTCGTTGAGTTACTTAGATATATTTTGACGGACTTGAATTTTTCTTGATTGTCTTCCTAATCAATTGTTTGTTATGATGACTATCTTTTTTACTATTTCTTCATAGAATTTATCAGTTTAACTTTGTGTTCCCACTTTTCTTATATACCATTCTCATCACATTGGTATATATTCTAAGTAGAATAAAATAAGTAAATGAACCAGTAAACACTGGACCAACTAAAATTCTTAAATGTTAAGCTTTTGAACTATAGAAATAAATAAAGTCTTTCAATTAATATTACATTGTCTTACAATTGGAAGCTTCTCATATGAAAGATTTGATGTTTCACCTAGTTTTAAACGTAATTCATATTCACTTTACAATAAAGAACATAATTTTTAAGTTATGTAAGTAATTTTTCAATTATTATCATATTATACCTACCTAATAGTTAGTCTTTTAACTATTGCTACAGTTCATAGATATCTTATGTATTTCAAAATATAGTGAATGGATTTCTCCATTGTCTTTCATAACATCACTGTCCATCATGTTTAACAACAGAATTCTACTCATCTAACTAACAATCAGATGTCATGGAGTTTCTCGATATTCCATGTTGTCCGAATTTTTTTACAGACTCTCAAAAAATATCAAGTACAAATTCTTTAAAGGTTATTAAAAAATTTAAAGTATTTCTGCTTTACCTTATCCTCTCCCTCATGTTATTGTCTTCATAAGCTTTAATCTCTTGATGTTTTATCTGCTTTTCTTGTACAGTTCATACATCACACAGTTCTCCAAGTCATTTTTATTCAATGGATCCGTATGGAAGCGTGGATAAACAAAATGAAGAAAAATCCTATTCATTACATAATCCATCATACTACAGCACTCAGTTGCAAGAACTACGTCAAACTGGTGACTTAGAGTTAGTTCGCGCACACCTTAGTTTGTCTGAACGACGTCGACGTGAGCTTGAAAGACGTATAACCGAACTAACTGATGAATTAGCACGTTCTCGTGCAGAAGCCCGTTCCGCGGAAACTAGTCTTTCTGCTGCTCGTCGAACTGAAGCTGCACTAAGAAGACGTCTTCTTGTTGCTATGGATTCTCGAGGTTCACCTAATGGAAATTATGAAATGAATATATCACGAAATTCACATGAATTCTCTTCTAACGAAAGTTCAGAAATGATGAATGCTTTGGAGTTACAAGCAGATGTAAGTATCTTTAGTTTCTACTATTTTTAGAATCTTTAGGAAACACTATCATATACTGTTGCTTAATAATTTATAAATTTTATGTTCAAATTTTCCACAAATCATTTTTTCTCTTCTATAGAAGTCAACTTGGAAAACCAAGGTCAAAAATGATTTCAGTTTTTTAAAAAAACGGTTCTATTTACATTGACTGGACAATCAAAATCGTAAATGTAAAATTGATCAAAATCATTTTGCTTTAATTTCATTTATAACTAAGGATACATTGAGTAAGCCAGTTGAACAAAAGTTTCGATGAAGAAAAAATGAGAATTTTCTAGTTGCATTATTTAAAAAGACCTAGATCAAGGGTTGTCTGTCAACTACCTCCAAGCACCTAACATCACAACACAGTGAACGGAATGTCAAGTCACTTTGACTAATGGCCTCATCGTGACCTGATCAATATAATCCGATCGGCTCTAAAAGGTTAGAGATATCTGGCACTAGCCACTAAACAATGATCAGTCAGTTTCAAATATTTCAGTTCTCAGGGGAATAATTAGGAAAATGACAACCTGTTAGGTGCAATATCTTGTAACTATCAATAAACATAATATGCGAGCATAAGCAATTGTCTGTGTATTGACCAATGATCGATTTCAAGGTTAACATAATCTGTATTGTAGCTCAAATCATTTAGTCATGATACTGACTCAGTACTTGAAGAAGAACTAGTGGATAATAGTTTTTTTTAATTTTGGTTAATGTTTCGTACTATATTGTTGCAAACTAGAACAATGGGACTGCATACAAATCTCTTAGTCTATCAAAACTGTCAACTATATTGCGGAAGATACAGGATGTTTTTCATAATGATACTTTTTACATTTTTTCTCTAAGCGTTGTATATTTCAAATCAGCCGATAAACAACTTGAGTTTTTAGCATCAGTTAGTATTGTTCAAATCTGTTAATAGTGCTTGCTCAGACAGAACCAAGTTTTCTAATCACCTTATTTTGAGAACCCAACCGCTTGGTTATTATTATCAGTTTCATACACTCTGCAGGTTATGAGAATAAAATAAGTTCCAACCAAATTATATAATCAAATGTTGAAATTATCGTGAGTGTGGGTTCAGTGATAACTCTCATTTAGGTATTAACCTTTTATCTACAAATTTATACTTTTAACGTCTAAGCTATCACATATTGACTGAATAATTATCTGCTTTTAATGCTTAAGTAACAGTTTAATAATATTTGTGAAACTTTATGATATTCACTTCTAGCTAATCAGCTGATAATAACAATAATAATAAATAGATAGATGGTTGTTTTCAATGTTCTTTTATCATTGTTGTTTAGATTATTAAACTTCAAGCTACTAATGCTTCACTAACGGAAGCTGCTTTACTTGATCGAACAAGATTGCATGATCAAGCTATGCGTATAGACCAGTTGGAATCAGAGCACAAAGCTTTACTTGATCGAGTCTCATGTCTTCAGGCAGCTGAAACTGGTGCACAACGTGGTATTGTACGTTTACAAGTGAGTTTTTTTGCTTCACTTTAAATGCATGTGATTATCATTCGGTTTTGAAGCAACTGAACAATTGTCGTATTACATTCTTGTTGACAAAGTTTCATTATAAAATAATATAATTGAGTACAGAATCATACACGATAAGGTGTTGTTGAAAAATGATCTTTCTTGAAATTAAAAGTAGAAAAAGGAGAAAATCACACCGACCGTAAGATAACTGTAGCATTTTTCATTCATATCCACTAGAACGAAAGTATAATATAAGAGTTGTGCAGTCGATCATCTGAAATAATGTTACGGATAATGTGGTCTAGTGAAAAATTCGAATTATATATTGTCATAATCTGTCAGTCATCAGAAAAATGAAACCTGGCTCATAGGTGCATCAGTTTAAGTTACACCACTATTGAAACAACATGATGACATTATCAAGATAAATTCCAGAGTAATGGGAGTAGTAATAGTAGTAGAAAAAAAAGGAATATGGTCCGGAAAAAAGAATGAATTTACTAAATAAAAGAAACTATGGATAATTTTTAAGCTCAAAATTTGAAAGAAACCGAAACGTGATTGGATCTCTGTTACTGTGGCCGATTTTGAGTAATATCATCCATTGGTTACAGTAACCACACTCATCACAACCAGGTAGTCTGCACCTACCAACATAGGTTAGTCTAACAGTCATTGAATTCATGGACTGATACTATTTCTTGGTTTCTTCCCTCTTATCTTTCTTCCAACTTACTCCAGCACCAGGAAGCATCGAGTGCCGAAGTAGGCGGTGTTCGGGGATATGAAATACATGCCCCAACCACCTCAGTCAGTGAAGATTAGTTACCTCACCAACCGATCAGCCATCTTTACCTTGTACCCTATGTTTAACCTCAATATTTCTCACTGATCCTAAAATAGGTCAGCAACACTTTGAGGACATCTATTACTAAATGTTAGTAACCTATGAATATCTTCTTTCTAAAAAGGACACGTTTTTCAGCCTTATAGTAGAACAGGACGAAGATATGAACAGTATACACGTTCTTTAGTTGAGAGATAGATATCTTCCCTACTCCTTTTACACCGCTTCTTTGTTATCTTCTATATCTATACACATCTACTACTTGTGCCGGTGAATGGTGGGAACTAAAATATGGTTAGGACTGATAATACCCAATAATATTTAATGAAATATGTATAACAACAATCTCTGACGTCAGTAATTGATGGTCATATCCATATTAAGGACTCTAGGGTTAAGAAAATTAGTAATGAAACAGTTCATATGGTGTCCTTCCCAATCACCATCAGTTGCATAGATTTACTTACCTCTAGTTATTGTTCTATAAATGATAGCCCTATTATCCTGTTTTTTCTCCAATAACAAATTTTTATAGCTAACCATTTTATTTCATAATATATTTTTGTATTAAATTAATGTTCACAAGTTAAACCATGATGTGTATATTAAACTACCCATATATATATCACAATTTAAATTTCTAAGATTTTCACAAAGATATAGTTTCTATTTCGACGTCTTCCATTAGTATAACTATTGTGAAACTATTCATTCAAATCTAGACAGAAGTTCTCATTAGTTTTTTTTCAAATACAAGTCCTTTTAGGATATAATGTGAAATAATAACCCTGTAAAACTCTGTGTGTACTAATAATGTATCAAAATAGTCGGTTTTTCACAGAACTCGTTGAACATGCGCTAAACAATACTTTACAAATATATTTGAATGACATAACCTTATGTCACGGATTCAACTAGGGGTTCACTCAATGACTGAGAAAAGGTGTTCGATACGTTGAGTGACATGGTTCAGAATCAGTTTTAAGAGCCCAGATAAACACACCTATTTAAACTAATCCATTCCACTGCCATTGGGTATATGAATGTAAACTGTTACTTGTCATATGCTTCATTATACGTTTGAAATAAAAAAGTCCTGTGACTCGTTAAAGAGAGGAGTTACTTCTTTCTTACAAATTTTAGTTGATTTATCACTATGTTAACCTGCAGATTACATGATATGAATTCCCATGATGTTATTAAGTTTATATAAACATAATAAGGTTTACTTCAACTATGCTTTGAATACTCTTATCAGGACTTTAGTGGTCTATTACCAGTCAAAGTGATTGGAAGAAAGGAGAACACTTTCAAGGGTTTATTTCAGCAGGTCTCATACTATTCTCCAATTACCATCATTAACAAGCAGTCTAAATGGGAGATCAATGTGAATTCTCCAACTCTTGGTGAGGTTGAGATAGTTATATCTCATTTGAATCGAGGTAAATCAGTGGAAATTAATGAGTTAACTGTACAGATTTTTAAGTATAGTGGTTCATCTTGAAAATTTGAGTTCACTGAAATTCATCGACGAAAAGTCAAAATATTGAACTATATACCCAATGGTTGTCTAAATGTTGGCGGTCCGTGATGTAAATTATAAAATTCAGCAATCCATATAAACCTTCTAAACTAATAAGAGAGGTAACTCCCAGATGTCTAGTGATTAGCCGTGACCTGTAGTCTGGCAGGAGGCAATTAACTTATAATTACATTGGACAGTAGTTATGCAATATAGTAAGTTGAATGAAGTTAAACGTTTTTTGCCAATTCAGGGGTCTAGGGAAAAAAGCTCACATCTATACCAGTCCAGTACTTCCTAACTTTTCAGTAGTTGTCTAACTGAGGTTAGTCAATTTTGAAAATAATAAAGTCCAGGAACCTCTACAAACCTCCCTCATAGCAACAATCTTTTGAATGGTCTCTTGTCTGTTTTTACGTCACATTAAATAGGCTCTTTATGAAGATATGCTACGTGAATACTCAGAGTCTAAACCACTAGAACTATCTAACGTTCGTGGACGTCATCATCAGAGAAGCAGCTCTCGTAACTCTAGAAATAATGATTTTATTACAAATGCTAATTATAATGATAAATATCGTGCTACCTCACGAAATAATGACGTAAGGGCAACAGAACAACAGATTTTGGAAGTTCAAGCTATGAATTCTCCACGCAAACGATCTATATATGAGAACTCAGGGGAAATAGTCACTGCATCATCTACAACAGTAAGTTAACATATTATTACTTTCTATCACATGGATTCATTATTAGATGTATAAACCTTTAATATTTACATCGTTCTTAGTATGAGTTTGAACAAATTAGTGGTTATCTAAACTCAACAACTCAAATGATATGGCGTTTGCATTGGAAGGGGAACATTCTAGGCTCGTGTCTTGATCTAAATTTTAACACATGAATTCAAATTCATGCGACTGACGAGTCCGACATAGGGCGAAACCAATACGTTCTTGATTCTACTGTTAATTATAATTCATTTATTTCCTTATGGTAATTTCATTTATTTACCATATTTGTTCAAAGAGCGGACATTTTTTCAAATATTCTAACTTTAAAAACTTTTGTATTTCAGATATCTAAAATTTCCGCATTAATGTCAAGAATCCATTTTCTTATCAACTAAACAAATATACTGTACTGAATGTTTTATTGGATTTAAGTGTTTACTTTGTTTCGGAACCATAATATATCTATTGACTTATACGTCAATGAACTCGGTAAAATTAATATTAATAATCATAAAGGGAATGGTAGATTCATGCTTTGTTAGACAGATTTTCAATATGCATACAAATCACTTTATTGTTTAACAGTATCAAGCAAAAATAACACTATTCTATTCTAGCCTATCTACTACTACTACTACTACTACTACTACTACCACTACATCACTTATTAACTAAAGTACATTGATGTATGTAAATGTATAATCATTTCTTAGGTCTAGTCCGTTGAAAAGGAGACAATTATGCATACGTACATAGACATGAATAATTTATCAAATATATTTACGACCAGAGAAATTATGTAATGTAAAATAATACTGTCTCGATGAAATCGAATACACTTTTTTTTTGAAAATGATATATTTAAATTGCAAAGACTTTTTAATTTGCAAGTTGATTTGAAAATTTTCAATTCCATTTAACATACAATTGTAAAAATTGAAATATCTCTTTGAAAATTCAATAAATCATCTTTATTATTGTGGTTTAAAGTGATTGGTGATTCCTGTTGTGACGGCTGATATCCTAAATCTGATACTGTTACATGACATACAATGCGCTAACCTCCTCTCTCCCAACTAACTATTTGAGAAAGAACACAGGAATAAGTGAGAAAGTACCGTGGGCTACCGGATGAAAATTCATCCCTTAGGAAAATAATCCATTTTTTAGCCAATGAAATACACTTGTCCTTTAGGTCATTTCCAAACGCCATCGATTGACTTCCGCATCAGGCTACTTCTGATTGGTTTGCCCTATCACCTTTCTCTCCTGAAGAATAAGTCTTGCTCTTTGGATTTAGCCATCACTTCTCCTGCACTGAACTTGCAGCTCCAGAATGAATGTATCAATTAAATAATCTAGTGGCAAGTTCGAGCTAGGGCGTTCTTTATCTGAGTTCAGTCGTCTATCGCAAAGATGGTTTACGTGTCGCGTCAGGCATTGACATCATTTTTATACAACACATCACCGACTCTTCTTACGATGACACCTGCTACCCACGCAGGTCCCAATTGTCAAAAGTTTCTTACATACACTGCTAACACGTTAGGAAACTGACGATTAATTCTCTTCGCCTTGGATTTATCATCTCGTCTTCATTGTGGGTACATACTATCAAATGAAGTCGGAATCTTCGTTCCGAAAATTGACATTCTTTGGTGAGACTGGACTCAGGGTTATTCCTAATGATTTTCTCGGTCGTGCCCACATCTTGTGATCATTTTGAAAATCACTAGGAAATTTCTGTCTCCATTTGTGCATCATATGAGGATAGGAATATATTTGGTTGGAAATAAGACTGGATGATCAAGCATTTTGAATCTGGGTTACAAATAAAATCAAATTGATAATCAAACATTTTTAATTCTCTGACCCAATCAAGACCCAATAGATTGAAGGATTCATAAGTAACATATCATTTGGATTTTATCATTAAATCATTAAATTTGACCGTACACTTGATAATTCCAGAAATTTTAATTGGGATACCTGATGTATTGTTTATGCAATCGTTAGTGGGATGAATGCTTGGTCGAAAAAAAATTCGTGTCAATTTTTGCGAAGAATCAAATAACATCGGATTCAGTGTCCAACTGCAGAGTGATAATACGATCATTAACATTTATGGTTAAATACTTGCGTGAGCATTTGGGGGTTAAATATTGATAATGCGTGAACACAGTTGATCCTTTTTGGCGTTCGATAATGGGATGAGTGTTTGATACATTTGCGAAATCCCTCCTTATGGCCAGTTACTCTATATGTTGAGCATTTATGGTTACTAAATTGGCAGAAACGGGAGAAATGCCATGACTCAAAGTTCCAACAACTAGTGGCCGGCCTTATAAAGTGACGCGAATTAGGGTTACATACATTCGACGTTCGATTTGGGAAAGAAACTTCCGGCGAACAATGCTTTACGACATTAATAATGTGATCTGGATGAGAAACTTCCATCAAATAAAATGAATTAGGAATAATGGCACACACATTTCACCTAGTTTTTAAGGATTTGGATTTCTCTGTTGTTCATCTTAAGGATTACGATCAATCAGTATTTACTAACAAATGTATGCATGGATGTATTGTCGGTAGAACTATACTATGCCGAAGAGTCAATCAGATTTAAGTTAACATTTTAACATGATTTATGAACTTTTCAAAGGTGATAATTCAGAATCATAGAATTGAATGCGTAAGTATTCATTCATGTGATTATAAAGCATCCTTCTGCCTCAACTTTAATTCACAATCGTAATCCCAGTTGCTAATCGTAACTCCCAAACCTATTTTGAATATCCTAATAGTCATATAAAACGTTTATAGACAATCTGATTTCTTTTGTTTTCTATAATAAACTATTCACTCCTATCACCTGTATCCCTATTGGCTAATAACTTGATATAATTTTGCAGTCACCTTGAGAATCGCTCAAAGTCATCTATTTTTTAAAGACCCTCCCCTAAGTTGTCACCTGATAGTCGATTTCCTAACTTCAATTAAATCACAGTGACTACAAATGTTAATGTTTTGAACTTTTCAACAAATTCATGAATTCGGTGCGTATTATGTACAGTTTGCATTTCAATACATTCATTTGTTTTTTTTTTAAAAAAAAACTGTAAGGTTTAAAATTATATTATGTTGGTCAGTACGTAGGAAAATGATAAAAATACTTTATATTCTCTTGATGAACAAAATATCTCTCGATATACCTATAGTTTCTATGTTTCTATTGCTTTGATACAGATTTATGTAGATTGCACAATGCATCACTCAAAGTGGTTGTGTTTACTTTAGTCTCTTGAACTTGCATAATTATTACTTCACAATGTAATGGATTTCCTAGCTAGTTTAGTGTCAATAAGATATAATCTTATTATTTCAATGTTATGCTTTCGCCTCACAGATAGAGATAGTAGCTAGCTTGAAGAATTACTATACAGATTACGTAATTTTCATCACAATACTTCTTAGATTGTTTCATTACATGTTATTACTCAATTTATTTACAAAATTAGTCAAATTTACGTTGATAAATAGGTTATATGATTCTTTAGTGTGAGATTAATGATCTTTTTTTTTATGTTCAATAAAAGTGTGATATCTAACATTTTCGAACATTTTCCCATTTACTTAGTTGGTCAGTGTACATATAAGAGTGTAGTTTTCACTGAGAACTTCATTTTAATCATCTGAAACTATTTAGATATATCTTCTGTGAACATGCTACTGTAGCGCATCCCAACTTACCAGATGAAGAAAGCAGACAAAGTGAAAGTTAGAACATAAAGTAAAATCCTCAGTGGTAATTATACTTTTATATGCAACGCACCCAGTAAATGAATGACAAAAATGCTTAATATTGAACTTTTGTTCAACATCATGAAGCAGATACGCTACAAATTGACGGACGCATATCCTATCCTTTTTTGTTTTTATTTACGTTAAGTCCATAACACTGGTGATTCGTGTTTTACCTATAAGCTTTCTCATTTCATTACGTTTATTTATTGAGATGACTTAATGGTTGTTAAAACGAAAATTTAGTTTGAATTTTATCTCATATACAGAAAATTGTAGTTATTTCTTTGTTTGTCAGTTTTTGTCTGACTGACTTTTTTATTTGATAGGCTAGTTCCTTTAGATCAATAGGAATAATGTAGAAAAGTATCCAGAAAAAATAATTGATTTCCAATTTTTTTTGTCTGACTAACCAGTACAGGTCGTATTTAACTATTTTCATATTGCTTTTTTCGTCTTTATGAATATACGTTGTACCACAAATGAGCATCTAGCTTCTAATTTCATAGGAAACTACTATGCGGTCGTGAATATCAACAACTAGATAATTCAAACCCTTACCAATAATGACGTAGACGTCATACTCATTGAAAAACTAAAAGACTATCTGAACTTAGTGCCTAGTTGCATAATGTGTTGGCGTTTGAAACAAAAGGTACTGGATTCAAATCTTAATGTGAAAGTCAGTTCTGGCATGTGCGGAGTATATCCAACTGACGAGTCCCCGATGAGATGAAATGAACTGCCAGAATACTACTGCTAGTCACAGTCTATCTATTCTAAGATATTATATTTTCGAATAGTATATTCGTTTAAATGGATGTTATATTGCTAAGCTGAGTTTCATATCGTTCTAGAATAATTTATTTGTTCGGCTTTTTGTGCAGTCAAATAATTATAACCCATAACTGCTGTTCATAAAGACAATTCTCAGTACAGTAGATTGTACAGGTCTTTAGACATTGTTACTGTGATGGTTTATTTTTATCATTTTTGGTTAGAAATATTACAACTGTAATTATCACTAATACCAGGTAACTTTCTTCGCAAACAATATCATGTTCACATGACTTGTAGATTAAAGCTCACATGTTTTATGTATTAAACAAGATAATACTTACTTTTTCATATTTGAACTCGTCCCAGAGAATGCTTATAATTAATTGACTTCGGTGTTAACTGAAAATATCTCTTATTCCATAGTTCTTATGAACAAGGAACAGAATTACGAAACATCTCAATGAAATTACTTTCTCTAGATGTTTTTTTTCGGAATAAATAATTAGTCATCCCACTAGTGACTTGGATCAAGATGTTCGTGAAATTCAAGTGAGAATACATGACTGGTATGGTTTAGACATGCTACGAGTGAAATAGTTGTCATCAATCATTTTGCATGATCATCGTGCTAGGTAACAAATTGATTAAAGTTGAAAGTGTACTATTTGTCTCTGAAACAATGATTTCAAAGATTAAATGTTCGTCGCAAGACTCGAATGTCCTTGGCTTCATTCATGATTGAGTTGTGAGTTGCCGCTGGTGAGGAGCCTAGAGACGAAACAACTGGTCACCGCTCCCTTGTTTTCAGTGGTACTTCAACTGAGATCAATCTGTGACAAACACAACCTATAAATAATTCTGTTTTTTTAAACCCTAAACAAACTCCGTGAGTGTATTTGAAGCAACGTACAAAACAAAGAAGTGTCAGTAGTTTTGTTGAATGTTTTAGCAAAAAACTAAAACAGTGAAAATTTGATAGTTTTGTGTCTAAATTAAGAGTATTTTCACAGATTGAAATCATGAGTCATTTGAATCTAGACCACCATTGACTCATGATTTCAATCTGTGAAAATTTCTAAAAATCTCCACAAACCCCTTCTGATAAATTAAGAGTAGTATATTCATAGTATTCTTTTTACTCTTCATATAAACACTTAATTGTAGTTGCGCATGAAAAAAACTTTCATTTAGTATTCTCTTCTTATATGTAAATTACTAATTTATTCCCTTGTCCTTACCAAACTGTACTCTTGTTAATATTGTTTTTCGTTATATTAGTCCAACTAAGATGTTGATAATAAAGCTAATCACACCAATCTGAAACGAAAAATATCGATTATTTTATTTCATTATTCTAATCAACAACATTTTGTGATTATCACAGCCAATATTTTATCGTAA